GTAGTAGTAGTAGATGGACCAAGGAGGGTGGGGTCTGCTGTGGGTCCACAGACCTGTGGAGATGGCTCTGGGTCCATCTGTGCGCACAGGTACTAGTCCTGTGGACCATCAAGTCGAGTTCGGCTTTGAAATCGCCGGCTCTATGGCTGAGAAACACTTTCTTCCTGACTTTAAAGCCACAGCACTAAATTCCAGGCAAGTTATGGCCCAAGTTTGTGGTCTTTCTCAGTCTCTCTGACAATCAACCTTTCATGTCCAGAAGCACATGTCATGAGCTCTGACACTGAGTGGCACCCACACTCAGGAAATCAGCTTAAGTGCTGTGCCCCAGACGTGCTATGTTAGTTGACATTAATTCATTGTTAGTCCACTGTCATGACCCCCGAGAGAATGTCCCACCCGAGGACAGTAGAGGACAACCGGTGGTGGCCCTAAGGACAGGGGATAGCAGAGAATGGCCAGCAGTGATTCTGATGATTGGTGATGCACAGTGGTGGCCCTGAGGACTGGAGTCAGCAGGGGACATCAAGTGGTGATCTTTAAGATGGGGAACAGCAGAGAATGCCCAACAGTGATCCTGATGACAGGAGAGGTGGCCCTGACTTCTAGGCACAGCAAGGGACACCCAGCAGTGGCTCTAAGGACTTGGGACAGTAGAAGACACGAACGGTGACCTTAATGACTTGGGACAGCAGACTAGCGGTGATCCTGATGGCTGGGGTGCCCAGTGGTGGCCCTAACTGGGGACAGGAGCCATATACCCTTGTCCTGGAGCGTCTGCCTGAGGGTTTTGGCCAGCAGGACCCACACATTGGGCACTGGATCTGAAGCGAGGCTGGGGAACAAGCGCTGGGCAAACTGGTGGACAGGGATACTCTCCTCACTGACCACAGCCTGGGGGTGAGCCACGGGCAGAGCCTGCTGGAGGGGTGCCACGTCTCATAGACGCACTGCTGCTGCTGGGCGCTGCGAGTGGTCCTGCCTCACAGGGACCCTGCGAGGCAGTGGACAAGGGCCCCAGGGGCTGTTCCTCGCCGGGAACTTAGTGGAGCAGACTGTCAGGTCTCTCTGTCTCAGCGCCAGTGGGTGGATTTGAA